CGCGCGCTGCCCTCTGCGCCCGCAGGCTGCATCCGGACGCTTCCGGCAGGTGAGACGCGCGCTGCAGCAGCCTGCCCGCTTGGGGCGGGAGCGGAGCTCAGGCACGGAGCGAACGCGCGAGTAGCAGATCCCCGTGTGTCCCTGCAGCGCTGGGGCACGTCTGCTGCAGGGCTCCCGCCGCTCACCCCGGCCCCGGGTAGCGGGCACGCTGCGGCGGAGTGACCTCCGCACAGCCGCATCCTGGCCTCTGGCAGCCCCGTCTGGCTCGGTGCGTTCGCCGTTGTGCGAAGCCCCGGGAGCCTTTCTCCCTTTGGAACAGCTGAACTGGACGGGGTCTTTCCCAGGGCTCCAAGTGCACTGACGACAACCAGAAAGAATGGATGTTACCGGCTGTGATCGATAATGGCGAGGGATCTAGGCAATAACTTCTTGTCTTAAGGGCCAAGAGAAAATATACAGCAGACTTCAGGAATATTTTCCATTTATTTAACCTGTCCCTACGTATCTGGTATTATAGGAGAGGGCCTGTCTCTGAAAAACCAATGTGTTTAGTTCCACATTCCCACTGTTTTCAACTCTTCCTTAAAACTTTCTGCCTTCTCCGTCCTCCAGAAGTCTATGGTTTCAGAACAGGTTTATTTGGGGGGGGGTTAAGCAGGAACGGTTAATGCATAAATCTAAAAATTACCTTTTGAAAGTAGCAATCACAGGCATAAACAGACCTTGTGTGAAACATGGTGGGAAAATGGTAATTTAAATATTTTTCAGTAACACCTTTAACAGTCCTCCTCCCCCTAATTTACTATTCTGAGCCTGGTTTAAGCTAAATTAACTCTATTTAAGTCCAGTATATTGAGTTTGGAGTAAAACATGTGTTTCGTGGAAAAAGTATCACTGTATACTGGGGGAAAACTTTGTCACTATTTAAGTTGTGGACAAAACTGTATTCACATTGAAAAAGAGGCAAATTTTGGAAACTCAGCTGAAAAAAATCAATAAATATATGAATTTCATGTAAATATACATCTTGCTCAAAGAACAAAGTATGCATTTGCATTTTACTATGAGATTGACTTAATGTCAAGGTTCCTTGCCGCAGTAAATCAAGCAATGTGGCGGAATTGTAACACACATTAATTATTCTGCTATAAAATTGCACATTTGAATTTGTCATCATGCACAAAGTGCTTGTAGTAATTGCAGATAAACATTGTTTTAATGATACATTAGCAATTAATGGCACTGACAAATGATGTGATTAGAAAAAAGGAATGGTTTGTAGGGGGCATTCCCACATTTTGTTTCTTTAGCTACTATAAATGTATTGCAAGCTCAGTCATTAAAACTTACACTTCTTCATATTTTGTTTCACCATATTAATCTAGCCATTCTAATGGACCCTAAACATACTTATTGGTCCTCGGACACTTACAGAATGCACTTTTGTAAAACTTAAAACAATTCACTAACTTACACTCACATTATCTTTGTGTCTGCTGTGTGCTACTAGAGCAGCATTCATTGCATAAGCAAAAAGAGTCTGTTTCTCCTGTTCAGAAAAAAAGTTCATGGATTAAAAATCTGCACAATATGAATGAAAAATCCCACTGTTTCCGAGGGCTGGCTCAAAACTTTAAACAATACTCAAAGGGGGGGAAAATGGGTAGTTGACAGAGCAGATGCACAAGGGATCTTTGTGCTGTCCCTAAATAGAGCCCTGCACTGATAGATACAAAAATTTGCATCCACAAAAATGAGCCTCTAAATCCACATTTACATATGCTTATACCCTTGGATATAAAGTGGATATCTGTGGCTTTGCTGTGCTCTCCAAACAGACTATTGCCTGCATGAGTTAATGGAGATCCAGGATTACACCTATGAGTATGGAGCAGAAAGCCCATTCTCTCTGAATAAGAAACCTTGTCCTGATGAGTGAAAGGATCTATTACAGAATATGAGTTTTCATCTTTTACACATACTCTTTATCACTTACAGTTGTGACAATAATCTTGCAAATGCAACCTACTGCACTTCCTGCATTTGCAAACAGATTGCAGTTATAGTTTACAGCTGTTCAGGGAATTGCAGAGTGAAATCCACAAGATCTTCGTGAGTTTCGCTGCTGTTCTGAATCCTATTGGCTGCAGAAAAATTATCCCGAATCATGTCAATTTAATGCTGATGATTCTGAGGAAATTATGAATCTGTGTTATTGACTAGGGAGGAAATCACACTCTTAGGGACAGAGTAGTAGAGACCTTTTCTTTTCCCTCCCCTATTCTTAAGAAACTATGAGGAAGGAGAAATGTAATATATATTCTCTCCTCTTGCAGCTGTCAACAGATAGAAGAGTAAAGAGACAAAGCAAACGGGGAGGGGTGGAGCTTCAAATTTATAAAAGGCCTGATAGCCACATGTGAGTATGAAAGACTGAGCCACTGTGTAGGAACGGCACACTGGTAGAAATTTCAACACCTTCCCATTTTCAAGTAACTGGTAGCAGGGAAGTTGTGCTTCTCACCAAAGAGGCTCTTTGCAGGCAGGACCTTGTCGGTGGGAATTGGGAACCTCTATATTATAGGTAATCAAACTACTATATTTGTGTGGCTGTAGGGATTCTTTTTCCATTTTATTTGGAAAGGGATACTTTGGTTATGGACACAGATTGTTAACGTTGAAATCCTGAGTGGCAAGAGCCAAGTGGTTTTGCAGGAAGCTGTTATTCCTTTCTGGATCAGGATAATGATCTAGTCTTTGAAATGGTAGGGGAGAGATACAGCAGCTAACCATTAGATTAAGCACACTAGTGATGAATCCAGATTTTAATTTGCCATGAGTCTGGAATATTATAGATTTGTATTTTTGAAAGGAGTGGTTATTTTGTGCAGGAAAATACACCTTTTCACCACATCTGGTAGGGAGAGAAAAATTACAAGGATACTTTTAATGTGGAGTTACTATTCTTCTAGCAAAGCAATAGTTTGTGCATGTGTAAGAGGCAGTGGGCCTGCATTGCCCACAAACGTGGCAGGTCTCCTAGATTACACTAACTCTGAGGAATCTTTCAGGGGTCAGGCATTCCACACAGATGATGTGCCTCTGCATCAGTTCTGGCCTTGCTTCTCCTGACAGTGGCTGCCTCAGCCTAACTTCCACAAGATCTCTGATTAAGAGAAGATTCCTCAAGAACAAGTGGGTCACATAACACAGCCCTGGCTGAATTACTTCACAGCCTGAGCTCTGCAGGGCTGGAGAAAGGCAGTTGCATGTCTGGCCTAGCCATTCCATTGTCCAGCCTGCTTCCTTTCCTCATGCTGATTCCCAGACTGCAAAGCACCTCCACAGGATCCTCAGGTGTTCCTACTATAGAAGGCCAGAGCCACTGCTTCCACACAGGATGGGAACATCTGTGGCTCTTGGAAGCAACATCAGATATAATATCAAAACAAGAGTCTTTATGTGTAGGGCTGAAATGAGAAAATCAGAGGGCAACAACCTAAATATTGATTTCCTGAAAACTAAATGATGAAGGAGGTAACTAGCTATTGTCGGGGGGTGGAGTGGCTTTGCACTTTCGTTTGGGTCAGTGGAATCTTGATTATGTTTCTGTGTAGGATGTGTTTGTATGTACTAATGAGGTCAACCTAGAGCAAAAATTGTTGAAACAGTGACAAGCAGGTATGGATAAGATAAAAAGCCAATGATACATTGGATCACACCTACAGGTGATATAGATTTAGGATCCAAGATTATCTCAAAATCTAGACATGCCCTCGGGGACAGTTATTAAGTCAAATTCAATATAGTCAATTTCTTATCACCCAATTTTGGGAAGTTGAAGGTCCGTGTCCTCACCGTAGGGACGAATCAAATGTAGTCCAAAGTAGCGTGTTCCCATTAGGGATCCTTTGGTCAGCTCCAACAGTGAGGCACCGTGGGCAGCTTTGCATTGTGGGCTTTGCTCATGGTGCCGTCTGTTACCAAAACTCTGCTGCAGGTGGTTAGAGGGGCTCATGGTGCCAGTGTCCCATAAGGCACTCATCTAGTCCCTCCCACCTTGCGTGAGATAAAGGGGAGGCAGTGTGCTCACACCTTGTGGTGCCCTGGTTGCCCCCACAAATTTAACAGCAGCGCAAGGATGGACCCCGCTGTGCAGCAACCCACTGTGATGCAGATGTGTATCATGGCACATTTAATGTTGCAGTACTTGGAGAGCATAGGAGGGGGAATAGCCCTTCCCCAGCTGCCAAAGGTCCCTGGCCTGCTGGCCCCTGTGGGCCCCTTTAATCTGCTGCCTCCTGTCAGCCGACGGTCAGGGCAGTGAGTCCCTTATGACCGGCTGAAGTTCTTTTAAATTGTGCTTGGTTCTGTTACAGCAACTGAAGGAGTCAGGTTAAAGCTTAAACAGTTACTATTTTATTGTTACAGGGTAAACTTAGTTGTTAAATGCTACTGCTGTGTTACAGATAACACAGCCACTACAAAGGACAGGACAGAAATTACACTAATAAGTCACTTACAGGTACCATGAAACCCTTTGGTTCTCTGAGCTCTTATTAAATGCATGCAAAATAGACACATAGCAGGTATATATTCTCACCCCTGCGTTCCAGACTTGGCGTGGCCAGCGTCTTTCTCTCAATCCCTCGGGAAGAAGTAGGACGAGGTTGGGCATCCCACAGACCTTGGGAGACAACTATACCTGCCAGCAGGTATAGATGATTGGAGCTCAAATGGGGTGGGCTACTAAACCCTCTTTATACCCCTTGGGTCACGTAGGCTTCTTCCTGGTCTCAAGCGGCCAATTAGGAAAAATGGCTCTGAACACCAAGTTTCCCACAAAGGGTGCAAAGCATAATTCACACCTGGGAAAATGCAGACAATGGGCACCTCTGGTATGTGATGGGCGAAGATTCCTCTCCTGGGACAGTGCAGGCATGTCAATTACTGGTACTAGCCATCAGGGCGACGGGAGGCCCCGGGTCGTCAGCTAGCCCATTTACTGTCTGGTTTCTGTTTATGGTAGAGTCAGGGACAGGCAGCACACCTGCGTTCCCAGGGCATCAAAGGCTGACTGCCTTTCTCTTGCTCTCTGGCGGGGGGGACGGACAAGATGTGGTTCGTGTCTGGCTACAACATGCCACTCCTCCAGAAAGAGGATGAGGATGAAGCTTGGCTTGGCATGGAAGCCCTGCCCATGCAAGGCCTTGCGCTGATTCTAGCACAGGCACCAGTCAATCCTTTGGACACAGTAGAACGCCGGTTCTGGTACCGTGAGACAAGCTCAGACTGGTGGGACCACATTGTGATGCACACATAGGATGATCAGCAGTGGCTGCAGAGCTTCCCAATGCAGAAGGCCACATTCCTGGAACTGTGCAAATAGCTTTCCCCTGCACTGAGGTGCAAGAATACCCAAATGAGAACTGCTCTAAGGAGAAGCACTCTATGGGGAATCAGTACAGAGTAGGAACTGCTGTCATACAAGTAACCAAGGCAATCAATAACATCCTGCTATGGAAGGTTGTGACTCTTGGAAATGTGTACACCATAGTGGATGGATTTGCTGTAGTAGGGTTCCCTAACTGTGGTGGGGTAATACATGGACTGCACAGCTCCATCTTGGCCCCCAACCATGTTGCCTTGGAGTACATAAATCACAAAGGGTACTTCTCCATGGTGTTGCAGGTGCTCATGGATTACAAGGGCCATTTCACCGACATCATGGTGGGATGGTCAGAAAAGGTGCATAACGCACGCATCTTTAGGAACTCCTGCCTCTTCCAAAAGATGCACAGTGGCACCTTTTTCCCAGACAGGAAAATCAGACTGAGAGAAGTGGAAATGCCTGTTGTGATCCATGGTGACCCCGCCTACCCGATGTTCCTATGGCTCATGAAGCTGTACACAGGTAGCCAGCTAGGAGGAGATCAACAACTGGCTGACAAGGTGCAGAATCGTGGTTGAATGTGCATTTGGACATTTTAAAGGGGAAGTTTAGAAGTCTCATGATTCGACTGGAGCTCAGCAAACTCAACATTTTCTTTGTGGTGTCAGCCTGTTGTGCGCTCCATAATCTGTGCGAGAACAAGAGGGAAGCTTCTCTGGCACGGTGGGGACTGAGGGAGAGCACCTTTCCAGAGAGTTTGAGCCGCCAGACACCAGTGCGATAAGGAGAGCACAGCAAGGGCAACGCAAATCAGAGGCCTTGAAGGACAGTTTTATGCAAGGCCTCTTGAGACTCTGCCATGTGGCTTTCCACAAGTTGCCCCTGCAATCTCTGTGTTGTCTTTAATCCCTCACCGCACCCCTGCAGTTAAACCAATAAAGAGACTATTGTTCAAAGAATGGGAATTTTTATTTGGGGAAAACAGAAAAAGGAAAGAAGAGAGGGGCTCAGGAACAGGAGTGGGACTGCCTTCTGCCTCCTGAGGACCTGGAGGGTCTGGCTCCCCATGAGTTCCTCTGACCCACCATGTCTTGGGGCGCAGGTAGCCCCGGGGGATCCTGAGGTGGAAGCCATGGGACTGGGGGAGTGTCATCGAGGTGGATGGGGTTTTGGGAGGAGGCCCCCTCCAGACATGATGCCACGTGCTCCATTATAGCGGTCAGGGATGCGAGCATGGTCTTGTGCTGACTCACCTGCTGTTCCCTAGCAGCTCTTTTCACCTAGGGCTCCATAATGCAGTCCAGGTGCTCTTCCCACATCTCTGCCATAAGGGAGTGCATGCAGTCCATCTGCTCTTGGAACATCTCCTCTCTCACAAATTTTTGCCTGTGGAGCTGAGCCAGATGGGCAGATGCTAAAGGAGGGGGAAGATGCACTGAGCTGGCTGCTGGACCAGCTGCAAAGAAAAGTTACAAGGGCAGACTTTATAGCGGTTAGATTGTCTTGACAGAGAACTTCGGTGTAGGCTATCAGAGTAGGGTTAGGGTTAACACAAAGGAGATGTTCTATGCAAGGCCAAATGTTTGCTTTAAAGAGCGCCTTACAGCAGGTATTCAGACTTCTCAGGGGAGAATTGGGATGCGCTCAGTCCAGAGGCAGACTGGTATGGGAAGGGGCCAGCCATGGCAGGAGTCTGCAGGCAGGAGGGGGTGGCAGGAGGGGGCTGCTTCCTCCTGTGTCCAGCCTTCACTGGATCCGGCACACAGCTTCCTGGGACAGTGCTTCTTTACGTGGCTGTGGGGGTGCATGCGCAGCACATGTGACTTCCCAGGGAGAGTGCTCCTAAGTTCCCCTTCTCCTTCCTCCAGGTTGGCATGTGAGAGATCCATCTTTTCCAAATCACAGAATCATTCAGAACGTAGCTGACTGAATGTGGCCGTAAACCTTGGCCTTACACTCCACTGCTTTGTGTTGTGATGATGCCAGACCACTTACTGGTGGCTTGGCAAGGGAATTTGTGGATGATGGCAGAAGGCTGGCCTCCCCAAAAACCTTGTGAGAAGTATTAAAGAGTTCCTATGTGAGAGCTTCAGGGAGCTGTGCAGACAAGACTCCCGCTCCATCTGCAGACTTGTGAACAAACTCTTCTGTGGCCCCTGTGCTGTGTAGGCACAGAGTGCACTATACATCACAACCTGTTGCCTTAACCCAATTGTAGTTAGACAAAGTTTGTGAACTCCCTAGAAGTGCCCTCCCTGTGGTCAATGCTGGAATGGGAGACATCCTGGGAGGAAGGTACCAGCTCTAGTGACATGACCAGCTCCTGGCTCTTGGAGATTGCAGCTGGCTAGTCATCTCCTCCTCCTTATTCTCCTCTTCCTTCCCCTCCGCCACCACACTAATGCATGCCTTGGCCAGACTCCATGATCACACTGGAGAAGTTAGCTGCGCCCCCCCTCCCCCGCCATAGCATTCAGCTGCTCTAATAGCTGCATGTGTGAGGTGCTGCACCAGATGATCCACTCGCCTCTGCCTTCCAGTAGGATTGGTGCAGCTTCTTGATTTTCACTCTGCACTGCTGGGCATCCCTGGAATAGCCTTTAGCCACCAGGCAGCTTGCAATCTTGTTGTAGGTGTTGGTGTTCCTCTTGCTGGTTTGGAGCTTGGAGAGGATGGCTTCATCTCTCCATGCCTCAATGAGGTCCAAGATGTCCTGGACGCTCCACGCTGGCACTCTTTTTGTGCCCCTGGGAACTGGAGTCCATAGTAGCAGAAGTATTCATAGTTGTCGCAGAGTTGGTTGGATTGTTCCAAGTCATGTCCTCGTGTACTGCTCACGATGCTGGTCACACGGGAAAGTCCAATCAATGTTTCCTACTGCTTTTTGCGCTCACCACGGAGAGCAGTAGAGGTACAAGTTCTGGTCAGGGCGGGGAACTGTGGAAGGCCTCTCAGAGGCCAATAGAGCCGACTTTCCAGCAATGCTGCATCTATGCTACAGTAAACTCGACCATGCAAGGTCGGAAATAGCATTACTCCTTGGGAAAAGCAGGAATTCTTAAATTGACTTTAGCAGCCTTTAAAGTCGATGTGACAGGCTTGGAAGTGTGGACGTGTCACTTAGAAAATCAACCTTATGTTGGTAAGGTCACTGTAAAGTCCTAGTGTAGACCAGGCCTGAGAGACTTGAAATTAGACCTGTAAGTCTGACATCTGTATTAAAGGGGAAAAAATGTTGCATAGCTTAAAGATGTATTTACAAAAGGGCTATTAACTAGGTGGGAAAACTGCCTAATAATTTATTTGCTGAGGAACTGATGCATGCACAAGTGTTTTGAGCCTTGTTTTAGTTGTTTTTTTTTTTTTTGTTTTGTCTTTGGGTGGCTTTTAAATAAGGAAGGCATATTTAGAGAAGAAACTTACAGAAATCTACGTGAAGTGTAGTTGACAGAGTATGGGAGTTCTAGGCAAATGTACCCACCTGTAATAAAACAGCTGTGGGAAAAGAATATAAAGAACGTGTCAGAAGAGTGTCCTGGATGGCAGAGGGAGATGAGTATAGAAGAGAGCAAAGTTATGTAGGAGCTTAATGGTCCCTAGATAATCAGGTTTCAGTGAAGGGATTTCAGAGGGGCCTAATATGCACTTCACAAGGCACGTGACCGCAAATTTTGAGAAGAGCTTTGGGGAGAAGAGAGATAGCAGGATTAAAAGTTAGGGTCCAGGAGAAGGAGAGGCTGCCTGATAATTAGTCTACATAAGGTTATTTGGAGGAGTGGTAGGATGCCACTAGTTTAGGGTTGGGCAATAATTTTTTGCCTGGGGCCACTTCAAAATTGATCTGATTGAGCTTGAGTGTGTTAACCTTCAGGTCACATTGTAATGCCCATCTATTTACCCCTGTTTCTTCAGAGCAGGTGAAATGAGTGGTTAAAGTGCTTTAACCCTGACATTGGGTCAACCTGTAATACTGAATATGTTTGCAAGACTGTTATTCATGTAGAGGAATGAAAAGACATTTTTTCTAAGACAAAACTAACCATAAGAAAGATCACTGATATTTTACATGAATATTGTTTTGGTGTGAGCATAGTAAGAATTATAGCATGTTTTTCCTAGGGGAACTACAGTAAAGAAACACAGAAGTTGTCTTCACTTTTGAACAAGTTGTTAAAATGGACATGAACACTTTTTTCTCATCTGATGAGGTGAGTATAAACCTTTTAACAGAAAAAAATAACTTCTCATTTCATTTATTACTATCTATTACTATCCTTAGGTCCAGCAAACCCTTGTTAAAATGTCTTAAATATAGAACATGTGTTAGAAAGCTGTTATACCAAAAAGTTTAAATGAAATATATCACCAGAATCAATTAATATATCTGCATTTAAAAAAAATCAGAAAGCTGATATCATTCTAAATTCTTCGTTAAATGGAAAAAATAGATTAGGTTTCTGCATTACTGTGAAGTTATCACAGTAAATAGCATCCCAGGCTATTTAACCTAGGGGTAAAATTTTCAGAAGCTCCTGAGACCCATTTTGTAAAGTAGAAATGCAGGGTAGGATTGTTCACAGAAATCTGAAGAGGCATGTTATAGGGAGGGCCCCAGGATCAGGAAACAAGCATGGTATCTAAATCCACATGATGCCCCTGATGTGGCCATACCTCTCTGTACAGATGTGTGCTTCTAGCCATGAACAACGGGGGGGGGCAACCAGCATGCAGGATCAGATTAATGCTCTTCTACAAAAGATAAGTTCCTGAATTGGGAGCATTTGCACACTGAGCCAGAAGTTGGCATGTTGCTCACACTGGCTGTGTCTACACTGGCATGAATTTCCGGAAATGCTTAAAACGGAATACTATTCCGTTTTCAGTTTTTCCGGAAAAGGAGCGTCTACATTGGCAGGCTGCTTTTCCGGAAAAGCCCTTTTTCCGGAAAAGCGTCTGTGGCCAATGTAGACGCACTTTTCCGGAAAAGAGCCCCGATCGCCATTTTCGCGATCGGGGCTTTTTTCCGGAAAAGACTACTGGGCTGTCTACACTGGCCCTTTTCCAGAACAGTGTTCCGGAATAAGGACTTATGCCAGAGCGGGAGCAGAATAGTTTTCCCGGAATAGCGGCTGATTTTGTACAGTAGAGTACAGTACAATTTTGTACAGTCCTGGGCCTTCTCATATTGCTAATTGTTGCAGTTTTTGTGATTTCACAGGTTCCTTTCACGAGTGACATAGAATCATAGAGCTGGAAGAGACCTCAGAAGGTCATCAAGTCCAGCTCCCTGCCCAAGGCAGGACCAATCCCAACTAAATCAACCCACCCAGGGCTTAGTCAAGCTGAGACTTAAAAACCTCTAGGAATGGAGATTCCACTACCTTCCTACGTAACCCATCCCAGTGCTTCACCAACCTTCTAGTGAAATGGTTGGATATTAGGAAAACCTTAGACCTCACCCACTGTAACTTGAGACCATTGCTCCTTGGTCTGTCATCCGTCACTACTGTGAACAGCCTCTCTCTGTCCTCTTTGGAACCTCTATTCAGGAAGTTGAAGGCTGCTATCAAATCCCCCCTCACTCTTTTCTTCTGTGGACTAAACAAACCCAAATCCCTCAGTCTCTCCTCATAGGTCATGCACTCCAGCCCCCTAATCATTTTGGTCGCCCTCTGCTGGACCCTCTCCAATGCATCCACATCCTTTCTATAGTGGGTGGGGCCAGAACTGGACACAGTACTCCACATGTGGCCTCACCAAAACCAAATAAAGGGGAATACCATACCCCCAGGCTTGGGTCTTTGACTGCACACATGTCTTCCTGGCTCTGTCATATGCACTCACCTCTCTGTACCAAATTTGGCTCTAAATAAAGAGAAATCCATGGAAATGTTTCAATAAATACTTTTCAGTCCACTTTGGAAAGTGACACAGGACCAAATTTATCTATAGGGCAACATCACTGTCTCCAAGGCTATGTCTAGACTGCAAACCTCTTTCGAAAGAGAGCGTCTAGACTGCACGCGGAACTTTCGAAAGAGCAAGCCGCTTTTTCGAAAGAAAGTACCCAGTGAGTCTGGATGCTCTCTTTCGAAGAAGCCCTATTTACATTCAAGAACGCCTTCTTTCGAAAGAAGCACTTTCGAAAGAAGGCGTTCTTCCTCGTGAAATGAGGTTTACCGCCGTCGAAAGAAAAGCCGCGTTCTTTCGATTTAATTTCGAAAGAACGCGGCTGCAGTCTAGACGCAGGTGAAGTTTTTTCGGAAAAAGGCTACTTTTCCCAAAAAAAACCCTGAGTCTGGACACAGCCCAATAGAATTACACCAGGGATGAATTAGACTCCTTTAATCCTTCTTTCTTCGCATGTTTACAATTGTGGTTTCCATTAGAAACACTATAAAGAACTGTCAACATTTCTTTTACAATAACAGTTCAATAGTGTTTCAGCAATAGACATGAATTGCAGCTAGAGACCTAATTTGAAAAACAAATGCATTTCAAGCATTTTAAGTAATTCCCCAAGTAGGTAGGGGAAAGGTGTTTGGTTTGCTCTTGTAACTCAAATATAGCTTAGTAAAATTTTGCAGGCAATTACTATTCTTAACTCTTTGTATTTTTTGTCAGAAAATACCTTTTAAAAGGAAAAGAACCTAATGACATTTTTGAGATTTTTTTTTTAAACGCATCCTAAAATGTATGTGTTCTCTGGCATTTTTTCCTGCAGTAGGGGGCAAAGGGTGCTAGTAAGAATTTTTTATTTATATTTTCAAAATAGCTAACTTATTTTTGGTTAACTTCAGTGGGAGGGGTTATACTGGACTTGGAAGCTACGGCGTTGGATTTATTTTTATAAATTCTGTAATTTTTGAGTAAGTTACTAGTGTAAAACACAGTAATATGACTTCCAAGTGCTGGTTGGAACAAGTGCAATGGTGCTACAGCACTTGTTATGGTTTGGTCAAAGGCCTGGAAGTAGACAATTTAATGGTAGGCCATAATTGCTAGAGTCATGCTATAAATAATGTGAACTAAGGATAAATCTACCCAACTGTGGATGACTCTCCCTCTTTTCTCCTGCCGACACCCCGAGTCATCCACATGCACAAAGTAGCAGCGTACCTCTCAAACTTAATCCCTTGCATAATCTGCACTCCCTCCCTTTGGAGATGGTGATGAAGGCAGCACTTCATGGCAGGGGAGTCTGCATCCAGTTGTCAGTAAGCTGTGGGGACTGCCTAGATGTGCACAGTGAAAGAGAAATGCACTTAGTGGATGGCTCCAAAAAAGCAGCATCAATGTGGGAGAGAACCCGTTATCTTTCATCTAAATATTATCCACCCATAGTAATCAGAAGGGGAGGATGACAGTACCACAATGTGCACACACAAAACTTAAAACCCACTCTGATCTCCTCGTGCAGCAGCTGCATGGTTTTTACTACAGCTCCAAGAGTGTAGTAACTTCCAAAGCTCATGCCATCAGTGTGAGTATGCCTAAGAATAGAGAAGGTCATTTGCGTGAACTCCCAAACCATCTCTGCTGGTCCCATGTTATTATAGATACAGGGCGTTTTCATCACATGGCTGTATCTCAGATCCCTATTAGCACATGGTGAAGAGAGTCTGCAGTGCTCTTTACTACTTTATAAGCTCAGGATTGAGCCTTATATTTTAAGTCCTGATTTAGATGTGTATGTAGAATAGATGACTCGGCAATACATTATAAACAGCCTTAAATTAAAATTAAGATCTAGCCCTCTAAAACATCTCTGAAGTTACCAGATGGCTTAAGCAGTTTTCCTTTTGCACAGTTGTCCCTTTGCCCCAAGCAGATAATCACTGTTTCCATTAAGAGAAGATTTTTAAACCAGTTAGGAATTTCTTTAGGGTGCAGTTGTTTTCATTTACAGTGAATAAAGACAAAGTCTTGTTTCCTAGAACACAGTAGAAACAAATAGCAAATAGTTTTCTTGCTCACAGCTTCTACTAACTGCCTTTCTGGTGAGTCTTGTGCCCCAAAGAGCTCTGTGCTTCTGCTTCCTTTTAAGGCTACTCTCATGACTGTTTCTCTTACTGTCTTTTTCCTCTCAAACGTGCATCTTGCCAAGTAATCTTAGTCTCTGCATTTGCAAGCAGTACCAAAACCCACTTGGACCACACAATTTATCTCTGCTAAAACTTTGTCTTACAGTTAGTTGCCTTGGGTAGTTACTTCACTTGATTCCAGCAATTTCACCCCATTTTGCTCTTCTCATTTAGTTTGAAAAGAAGAGTGGCTACCCTGTCCATCAGCTTTAAGCTAGCTTAGATATTGAATTATGAGATAGCAAGCCATGATTTTTTTCCAGCAAAACAGTATATTATGTTTACCATAAAATATGGCATCCTTGATGCAAATTAATATTTCCCCACATCACACAAGTTGGTGAGCACTGAGCAGCAGCAGAGACAAAAAAAGAAGATATCACTTTGTTAAATATAAACTATTAAAAATAAAGTACTGTGCAGAAACATTCTGCTTTCAAAGTTTCAAAGCTGTATTATGTCAGTGTTCAGTTGTAAACTTTTGAAAGAACAACCATAATGTGTCAGAGTTACCAATATTTTGGAATTACGAACAACCTCCATTCCTAAGATGTTCATAACTCTGAAGTTCTACTGTGCTTGTACAGGGCTTGGTAGCAGTAAACATAGCAGCACTGGAAATTTACAAAGAAAAATGTCTTACTATTATATTACAAGTCACAATGTAGCATTTAAAACTGAATCTGTTATTAATAGCTATATAAAATAAATGCATTTTCAAAGAACTTAGGTAAGAGCTGTAAACTAAGGAAATGAATGCATATTGTTGCAATAAGTAGGTAATATGTATCATTTATCCTTGGAAGTGTGTGATCTGAGGCCTTTGCTACATAAGAGAAGTTGACACTTGTGTGACTAAATCAATGTAGATAAACTGTATTAGGCAAGCTCCTAATACAGATAGGGTACGTCTAGATACCTCTGGTATCCCAAAATAGCATTTTCCACATCTTAATAGCATGCCTGTTATTTCAAAATGCAATAGAAATAATGGGCTTGCTATTCTGACGTCCCTGTAAACCTTGTTTCACAAGGATTAAGGGACTTGTCAGTATAGCAGTCTATTTAGAAATTTAGCACTGTGTAAGCAGTACCAAATTTCTAAATAATTTATTTTGAAATGC